AAAAATCCAATTTGAATGCGTTTTCGCTGCAAAATAATATGATTAATTGGAATTATTTCAAAATTCTTTAATTATATTCACGATTAAACCGGGATGTTTTTTTAATTGTCGTGGACCAAAAACGTTGAGAAACGCTGATGTAATCATCCTTGATGATTAAATCATCCCAAAGAAATGATATTCTTTCAATTACGTTATTGTTTGGTCGAGTAATTAGTTTCTGTTTTGCTTGATCCTTTCAGAATTGGTTCGGTCAGGCCAGTTCGGCGGACAACAAGGAATTCGTTATTAAGAATCCAGCGTATTTGCTGGAACCTGGACCAACGGTGAACGTGAAGATTCAGGTGATCTATTCACCTACGGAGATAGTACCGAGCGTCACGAGAATCCGATTGAACGGAAGAACCGTGTGCAATGAAGGTGTCCCAGTTCGCACGACGGAAGCCCCGAGTCCGTTCATAAGTCAGAAGATTACCAAGAAACCGGCCACCGCTTCTTCGGCCATCAATCGCCCTAGTCAAACATCAAACAACGGGTAAATTATGTCCATAAACTAATCGAGTCTATGTTATCTACTATTAAAACTCAGGAATCTTCTATCGCAATCTGCGAGCCGCAGACCTTCGTCTACCTCTACAGCACTGCCCTCAACAACTTCGTCAGATACATTTTTCACTGGAGAATTGAACCATATCATCAATACAAGAAAACCGAATAAACCAGGCGTCACTTTATCCAACGATGTGCGATGCGGAACCGTGGCGAAACGAGGAAACGCGCTGATAACGAACGGTCAGGACGTGAAAGAAGGTAAGAAATATAAATTATACAATTAAGAGTATTTCATCAAAATAGATTAAAATAGGAAGTTGGCCGTGGCACGTTGCACTCTACGTGTCCGATGGTTTGCAGTTGAGATACATTTGCGGAGGAAACTTGGTCAGGCACAAGTACGTGATAACTGCCGCTCATTGCGTAACCAGACCGGGAACGAATCGGAAGAGCGATGCGGAAGGATTCCTCGTACATCTAGGTACGATTATGACAATGAGAAATAAACAAAAAAAGAAAAATACATACGAGTATATTGAACTTAGGTCGCACATTTCTGAGAACGTTCGGCCCTGGCATTCAAGAACGCAGAGTGGAGAGGATAACAATCCATCCGGAGTACAACAACACCTATCTGCAGAATGATGTAGCCGTGTTGAAACTATCACGAGATGCCGATTACACCGATTACGTGCGCCCCGTTTGCCTGTGGAGCGACGCCGCTGATGATAGTGTAATTGGAAAATTAGGTAATACAAAACTATATTTTAAAGGACTTCAAAGAATAATAAAGAAATCTTGTAGGCACCGTCATCGGATGGGGTTACAAAAGAGCGACAAATCACAGATACTCTGCAAGAAGCCCAAATGCCAGTCATCGATACGTTGACCTGTATCTTCTCCAATCCAGATTTCTACAGCAAATACACGTCGACGAACACGCTGTGCGCCGGATTTAGGAACGGTAATCCGCAATAAAGCGAAAAAAAAATAACGATTCAATGTTAATGTCCAGGTACTTCTGTTTGTAACGGCGATTCGGGCGGTGGAATGTTCTTTTCGAAAACGACATCGAATGGAGAGGTGTGGGAGCTGAGAGGGTTGGTTTCAGTCAGTTTAGCGCTTCAGGGAAAATACTGCGATCCGTACAATTACGTGGTGTTTAGTGATTTGGCGCACCATAAGCAATGGTTGAACTCTGTACTGACTGTTTAAATCCCTCGCGTTGTATTATTTCGTAATGAAAGAACAGAAGACATTGAAGTGATGAAGAAAGAGTGGACGCGTTAACAATTATATTTAACTTTAATAAAAATTAGAATTAACATTCGGACATGTTTTCCTTTCAGAATTCTCCTCATTAAAACCCTTCGTCCTTCAGGCGTGCTCATCTTTTTCTCACAGCCGTGACGCTTGATACTCTTTCGGTCAGAAGGTCTGGGAAAGTCACAACAGATTACAAGGAGAACAATCCTCCGGGACGAGCGTCTCTGGAAACCAGAGGAACGAAGATACATATTATTACAATTATAAATACGCATACAACATATAAACTATTAATTACTTCCTGAACATTCGAAAGCGCAGGTAATAATCGCGCATATTGTCTAAATAATAATCATCTTCTTCCTTCCTCCACCACTTTGCCTGTTTCGCCAGTAAGATGCGCGTGTGTTTGGTTGCATACCAAGTATACAGCCATTAACTATCAAAGAAAACTTGTATAATTCTCGTATTTTCTATATATAATTTATATAATATATTTACATACAATGTATTTAATAAAACCATTTTAATACTTAAGAATAAAGTTAAGTTAAACCTATAAATTAATGTTAGTTTATTTGCATTAAAAAGGACATATTGTCTAAATAATAATCTTCTTCCTTCCTCCACCACTTTTCTCACTTTGACTGTTTCACCAGAAAGATGCGCGTGTGGTTGGTTGCATACCAAGTATACAGCCATTAACTATCAAAGAAAACTTATATAATTCTCGTATTTTCTATATATAATTTATATAATATATTTACTTGCAATGTATTTAATAAAACCATTTTAATACTTAAGAATAAAGTTAAGTTAAACCTATAAATTAATGTTAATTTAATTGGGAATTGTAAATTGAAAAAATAGAGAATTGATAATCAAATATTTGAAATTCGTTTTCATCAATAGAAAATTATGTTTAATTAACAATACGTGCATTAAATAAATTTTATTTATTAATAGAATATAAATAAACTATTATTTTATTATTAAAAATAATTACTAACATAATTTAATGGAGAGCCAATGGAAAACATACATTTCTAATAAAACATAACTTTATATAATTTTATGTACTTATAAAAATTATGATTAATGTTTTATAGAAACTGTAAAATATGTATTAAATATTGAGTCATCAGCAAAGACACTTTTCTATGTATTAACTAATTGAAACAATAAAATCATTGTTTACAATGGTTTATTTGTATTGTACTAAATATGATTTTATAACAATTAAAGTTACAAAATAAATTATATTAATGATTTTACAAAAAAAAAAAACATTTTCCAGTTGAAATATGTTTAAAACCATATATAGTATATAGCGTATGGTTATAGAAAATAAAATGATCAAGTAGTATAGAATATATTACTTTAAGTATACTGGCTGTAATTATTCCAATTATTAACAAATAGATAATGTGTATGAAATATTTCAATTTTGATAGATAAATGCGATGATAGCGCTACTATTAAAGAACGAAGAATATTAATTAAAACTTAATTAGATTTACATTTTTACACAAATGTTAATAGAATAATAATTCTATTATTTATCTGTGTTTTCTTGTAGTTGTAGAGCATTTAATAATAGCTTAAATTTATTTATTTTAAAATTATATAATACATTTAAACCAATTTTTGTTACTCTTTAGATTAATGAAAGAATTAAAATTGTTTATTTCTTGCATGTATATTTTTATCATGATTTTGTATATGTGTAAATATTACATTTGTATTAAAAATCGAAAACTCTGGAAGTCTAGACTCTATAAGCACATACATTATAAGTAATCTCGAAAATTACTAAAAACGTGCGACAAAATAAACGTTACTTTTTATACAAGGAAACAAATATAAAATCACTAATAATCAAGTGAGAGAAAAACGTATTAATACGAATACATTCAATTATAATGGAATGAAAAGCGTTCGAGTTGTAATTAACTCGTAATTAGGTGAAAGTTGAATCCATATGCAAACTAATTCTTCTAGAAATGGATACTTATTAAAAGAAATATTAAACGACAATTTTTGGGCAGTAACGTAACAGACATGAGTGGATCAACGTGCGTTTCGAAATTGCTGATTGCCATTGCGAACTTTTTGTGGCGCAGAAAACTTACGCTTGTTCGGAAATCTTTCATTACGAACCTCGGGCTAAGGATGAGATCAACACGTGGACGGGGATCATCTCCATATCTTCGAGCGAAGAGCTGCACGGCGTCTTTATACATTTAACTTTGGATCGTCCAGTATACGGCCTTCTGGTAAGTCTCAATCCAGTTGTTATTGTTTTAGATCAGCGGTCGGGGTACTACAATCCCTCTCATGCTGTAATCCAGTGATTCTCAAAGTGCGGATCACAGAAACATTCACGATTAAACCGGGATGTTTTTTTTTCCAGTTTTAGTAATATTTAAAAAAAATTCATCAAATATAATTATTAATAATCATCACAGATTTTATTAATCAGTAATAAATTTATGTTTTAATATTCGAATGAGAATTTATCACTCAAATTGTTTTTGTTTTTCACCAAAATGTAATTTAAAAATGTTAATATTTAGATTTATGATCAGAAAAAATCCAATTTGAATGTGTTTTCGCTTCAAAATAATATGATTAATTCTAATTATTTCAAAATTCTTTAATTATATTCACGATTAAACCGGGATGTTTTTTGAATTGTCGTGGACCAAAAACGTTGAGAAACGCTGCTGTAATCAACCTTGATGATTAAATCATCCCAAATAAATGATATTCTTTCAATTACGTTATTGTTTGGTCGAGTAATTAGTTTCTGTTTTGCTTGATCCTTTCAGAATTGGTTCGGTCAGGCCAGTTCGGCGGACAACAAGGAATTCGTTATTAAGAATCCATCGTATTTGCTGGAACCTGGACCAACGGTGAACGTGAAGATTCAGGTGATCTATTCACCCACGGAGATTGTACCGAGCGTCACGAGAATCCGATTGAACGGAAGAACCGTGTGTAATGAAGGTGTCCCAGTTCGTACGAAGGAAGCCCCGAGTCCGTTCATAAGTCAGAAGATTACCAAGAAACCGACAATGGGTAAATTCTGTCCATAAACATCGAGTCTATGTTATCTACTATAAAATTGTTGCATTAAAACTCTGTACTGACTGATTAAATACCTCGCGTTGTATTGTAATGAAAGAACAGAAGACATTGAAGTGATAAAGAAAGAAGTAGACGCGTTAACAATTACATTTAACTTTAATAAAAACTAGAATTAACTTTCGGACATCTCAATGCGAGTATACATGTTTTCCTTTCAGAATTCTCCTCATTAAAACCCTTCGTCCTTCGGGCGTGCTCATCCTTTTCTCCCATCCGTGACGCTTGATCCTCTTGCGCTCCGACGGCCTGGGGAAGTGGCACCGGATTACGTTACGTATCGACAAAGAGAACAATCCTCCGGGACGAGCGTCTCTGGAAACTGGAATAGCTAACGAATGGAATGTCGACTGCGAAGCTACCATCACCGACGAACTAAGATACAAATTAAACAATTATAAATAAACATTCAACATATAAACTATTAATCACTTACCGAACATTAGAAAGCGCAGGTAACAATCGCGTTAAAAACGACATATTGTCTAAATAACAAACAAAAATATTCATCAGAAGATGCGCGTGTGTTTGGTTGCATACTTATAAAAAAAAATTATGATTAATTATGAAAAATATGTATTAAATATTGCAAAGACACTTTTCTATGTATTAAGTAACTGAAACAATTGAAACAATAAAATCATTGTTTACAATGGTTTATTTGTATTGTACTAAATATAATTTTATAACAATTGAAGTTAGAAAATAAATTAAATTAATGTTTTTACAAAAATCATTTTCTTTCTTACAAGATTCTCCACTTGAAATATGTTTAAAACCATAAAATGCTAGAATTGAGTGATCATTACATAACCTCTAAATCCACTTCATTCAAGATGCAATATAAAACGTATATAGTGTATGTTTATAGACAATAAAATGATCAAAATACAAGCACTATAGAATATACTTACAATTGAATTAAGTATTCTGGCTCTAATTATTCCAATTATGAACAAATCAAAATAGATAATCGTGTGTAGTGTGAAGTATTCGGGTTTTAATTTTGATTGATAAATTCGGAGACAGCGCCTCTGCAGAAAACAACGTAAACTAAATTCCAATATTCCTTAAGCATTTTACTTTTCATAAGAATGTTTATTAATTATCAATTTATTAGGTCTACATTTGCATACAAGTTCTTACTAATGAAATAACAATTTAATTGTTTGCAAGGGAATTCATGTAGCTGTAAAGCAATTCATGTAATAGCTTAAAAAAGTCTGAAGTTTACATTAAAATTGAACTATATTAATTGTGCTACATTTTTTTTATTATTAATGATTGAAGTAAAATTGTTTATTTCTTGCATGTATACTTGAATCATGGGTATATATATTAATTTTGTGTTAAAAATAGATGCAGAGAAAAGTCTAGACTCCATAGATTATAAATTAACTCGAATATTACTAAAAAGTGCGACAAAACAAATATTACTTTTTATACAAATCACTAATAAACAAGCGACAGAAAAACGTATTATTTACGTTTGTTTACGTACAATAATAATGGAATAAAAAGCGTACGAGTTGTAATTAACTCGTAATTAGGTGAAAGTTGAATCCATATGCAAACTAATTCTTCTAGAAATAGAAACTTATTAAAACAAATATTATTGCTTGTAAACAACAAATTCCTTACCAGTTACACAATATTTGTTATGAATTTAACGAACTTATCTTATAGCATGTTTTCAATCCAAATTTAACAAATAAGTTTTTATTTCGTATCAATTGCAGCAACATATAGTTTTAAGTACAAATATAATCACTTTTTCTTAATGTTTTAGATATACTATAAAAACTGTTATACAACTGTCTTATTTATTATATCACATTTCGTTATAATTTAGTGTTCTCTGGGTCGGGTTCGTTGCGGCAAATAACCGAAATCCGGCGCGTCTTCAACACTGTCTCTCCATTAAACTTGCTATGCTCATTCCCGAGAATCTCATGAGTATAATCAAACCTAGCCGTTCCCTTCATTATGTACAGCGATCTTCTCTTCAGCAAAATATCAACAGACAAATCTTTGTTTTTATCGTGCACGAGCCTCATCACACTGTCCGTGAGCAAGCTCAAGCCAGCTATTGTATCTCCACAAAACTGAAATAAGAAATTCCTTAAAAAAAAATCAAATAATTTGTAACTTTGACTTACTCGAATTGCATCAATGTGCGGTTTAATATACCCCTTTTCATCCAAATCTAAAATATGCACAAATCGAAGAGGATTTACGCCAGCAGGAAAAGCCAAATTCCTGACCCTATCCAATATGCATGTGTTCTCCTTATTCCAATTAACACGTTCAGTCTCTCTAAATCCGTGGATTGCCTAAACGAAGCTGATTTAAACATAAATTACAAATTTTCTCACAAAGCTTACTTACATTATCCCAATGATCATACTCGTATCTCATCCGCTTTAGGTAAGGTTCAATCTCACCAAATATGCTGTTCTCTTCGACTTCTGTAAGGAAATCGGCATGAACCAGCATGCTGTTGACTATACTCTCTCTGTTTTCATGTTGTTCAGGATCATGGAAACCCTTTGAGAATACGAAATTTGCAGGGACATTTGTGTACACTGAAATAACCTAACTTTTGTTACTGTCTGAGTTATAAAACAATGCTTGTTGCTCACCTTTCTTGCTCTGTGCAACGGTTTGCAAGTGCCTCACAATTTTTGATATTTTAGGAACAATGTTCGGCGTTATACGTTTCATCAACATGTTTACAAAATTTTTTGGAAATTGATCATAAAACTTGGAATAATTGGAACAGGTGACATTGACAGACAGATATTCAAATAATTTGCTAATGTTGTGTATAGAAATAGGAAACAATCATTAAAGTTATTTCTTAATTAACTTTAATTTAAAGACAACCAACGAATTAATTATACGTTTAATTCATTAATTATTAATTAACGTATATTTTAATTCAACATAAAGTAACGCCATCTTACTTAATATCACTATAATAATAGATTCTATTAATAATAGTAAAACTTAAGTAGTAAAAAAAAATCTTCAACCGTATTAAAACAATGTACAGTCAACTCTTCTATAACGCGGTACTCTCAGAACGCGGTTTCCATATAACGCGGAGC